ATGGTGGAGTCTCCTTCTCTGGAGATGTTCAAGACCTGCCTGGATGCCTACCTGTGCGACCTGCTGTAGGGAACCTGCTTTGGCAGGGGGTTGGACTCGATGATCTCTGGAGGTCCCTTCCAACCCCTACAATTCTGTGATTCTGTGAATGTATTTTTACAGGATTTATATATAAGAAAAATGTACCATTTACTGTGTCCCATCAAAACAACAACAGATATAAGCAAAGATTTTATTAATTGCTTTTAAAAATACATTAAAATTATAATGAATATCTTTTTTTTTGAGAAGAGGCTTTTATGAAATCATATCAAGTGTATGAATCACCTTCAGTACTGTTTCATTGCTCATTTTTTTAATTTTCTAGTCAAATCGTACCATACTGAAGTTCAGCCTTGTTGCTTCATCACCAGTTTTGCTAATGTTTGCTATAGCTCTCAGATATTTCAAATGTTGTTATGATGCAGTCTTTTTCCTAAATAAGTAACCTGAAAATAGAGGGGAAACAGCCCAGAAAAATTGCTCCAGTATCTAGAATAACAAAAGTGAGCTTCTGTTTCAGTCCAACATTTTCCTTACAACTCTCTTTAGATTGTACTGTACAGCAACAATTCATTTTGTGAAGATCTTCCTTGGCTAATAGGAGACCTTCAGCAGGTTGATCACAGTAACTAGGAATGCTATTTTGCTGCTTTAAGTTTTACTCAAATTTTTGAGTGAACTTTATTTACTGCTGAGTGTCTTCACTGTGAGACATATAATCCAAGCCTCCTTGCTGCTTCTGAAATTCTGGGTGCTTTTTTATTAGGGAAAGGATAAAAGTCTAACTTGTGGCAAGCTGGCATATATTTTGTAGAGGAAATGTACTGATGCGTCCCGACTGCTGAAGTGTCTGACTTCAGAGCAGGCTTTTGGCAAGTTCCTGAGATGGTGCTGCCACTCTCTTTGCTGAAACTGCTCAATGTTGAACTGAGCACGGATAGTTCACTCGCTTCTTCTAATTCCTTGTGTTGCAGTGTGCCATCTTCCTTTGAAACCAGTCTCTGATTGTCAGAACTGCACGATTCATTCCTGCAGTGGGAAAGATCCCAGGGAGCTTTCTTACAAGGAGTTTGTGCCAGGCGGTGAATTCCCAGGTGAGTACGCCAGGGTGAGCTGTCGTGTGCAGTGCCATTGCTGGTTACCTCCAGCCTGACCTTTCTGACAGGGACACGTTCCGTAAATGACTTTGAATTTTTAACTTTTTTATTAATTAAAACAGCATTGACCATTGATTCTGGGAGAACGGATTCATGCTCACCTGTAAGAGAAACACATACATGCACTTGAGTAGGGTGGCAGAAATTAAGGGTCTGCTTCAGCTGAAGAGCTTTAACAGATGAGTGGTGCCTGTACTCCTTCCATCTGTGACCAAGAGTAGTTCAAACTCTTTTGATCCCAGATTACAGAGAAGTATCCCTCACTCAGTTTTGCAGTTTGAAGACATGAATGCTACCACAGAGTCAGTTCAACGATAATGGAAATTTATCAAGTCAATATTGATCTAAGCGCTGCTCTAAGACTCATTAACAACACAGATTGAGAATTGACTTTCAGTAATTAACTGCTTGTAAGCAAAAATTCTTAAGGTGAACAGGGGCCTGCTTATTGTGTCGATTGGTACACAATTTGAGACACAGATGTTCGAGATGATACTGTTTGAAGCTTGTATTCACAACCCAAAAATAGTCTGAATTTCTTTCCTCTTTTTCCCAACGCAGAATCATTAACGTATAGGCTTGTATTTATTACTTAATTATTTTTTCCCATCTCTGTGGCTTAATTTCTAATGTGTTATGAAAGTTACTGCTGGAAATGCATAGGATATTAGAAATAGAAATGCTAATGCTACCTTAATTAGATGTAGCAGCTATTAAATTACTGAACATGACTGGCCTTCTGTGCCTTGAAAATGAATAGAATCTGAGCCATTGTACTAAAGATAAACAAACAGTGCTGTTGACATTGTAAGCACTAATTAAATGCACTTTAGTTACTATAAATATTGCTTAAAGTGGAGCTTGTGCAGAATGCTGACCTTATTTATGGGGTTGAGTTAAGGGAACTGAATTTTTTTCAGTACAAATGATGAAGTATATTGATGTGAAAAAGAACAGACAGAGAGTTGATTATATTTTGAAACACAAAATCTGAATAGCCACTTAAGAGAATTCAAACCTTGAATTTGAACTGAAACTAATTGGAGTAGGATGTTGCCATAAAAAAGAAGCTAATGCAAAAATCCTTTTAACAGTCTTTCATATCATTGATATGAGAAACGATCTGAAGATATCAGATGCAGCTATTTACTGGCAGCAAATGAACCTGTACAGTGGGGCTTGAGTTAAGGAGAGGCTTTTGCTGCTGTCTTTGGCTCCCACTACTAAAGCAACAACACCTGTACAGTATCATAGAATTTTCTCTGCCCCTCAGTTGGCCACAGAAGGTTGATCTGATAAGAGCTGGGAAGCAAGAGTCATGTGCATCTTCTGCTTTTGTGCAGTGTTATCAGGAGAGAGGAGACAAAAGCACACGCTAAGCTTAGAGCACGTGTCTGTGCATATGTCTATACAGTGAAATATACTAGAAGAATTTCCTAGTGTGAAGCCATTCTTAGAGATGAGAACACACAATTTTGTATCATGAAACAGTGAGAATCAAAGTTATGGCCAGTCTTATGGTCAGTCTTCTTCTAGGAAAGTCCATTTGCACAGCAATGGTCAGCACAACAGCACCAGGCTACAAAGGAGGGTTTGTTCTTCACATGTGAGAGAAAAGACAAGAGAAAGGAGGAACTGAGAGACTGTCAGGGATGCAGCTTTGCATATTCTTGTAGATATCACTGCACTTTTAGATGAACTCATGTTTATAGGCAACATCAGGTTTTATCTTGAATCATCTGAACTGGTCTTCAGAAGAATTACAGCCTGGTTTGAGCTGATCAGAGAGTTCAGTGTAATGCATCAGTCCAAGTCAAATAATCCAAACTGGTTTTCAGTTCAGGTTTGATTTGATTCCTTGGCTACAAATGCGACACACAAAGTTGAGCAATGAGCTGTAATAGAAACGTTGGAGCCCTGAGCCATGCTCTGTTGAGCTAATGCACATTCAGCACTCCCTGAACTTCTGAAGAAAGCTTGATTAAGATCAAGCTTTTTTTTCTTTTAGAAAAGACAGGTCTTTTGAATTGCACATAATAACCTTGCAGTAAGGTTGTCTACCATTTGGCCTTTTTCATATGCTGTCATCATAGATTCTGAATTAACAGAAGTTGATCTTTGAAGTCTTGGAAGAGATTTCTGCAGTCAGAGGTCCAGTTTATTCCAATGTTACTGCGTGCTCTGAATGCTATTTTAATTCCTAAAGTAAATACTGCTTTTCTTCTTCTTAGCCAATGAATAATAAACACACTATCGTGTTATCCCCTACCTGGAGATCTTCAAATCTTGTCATCCCTTTTCTCAAAGAATCAGGAACTGGCAGAAATATGAAATATGTGGCTGTGTGTATTGGGGACAAACCAGAGGCAAGTTGTTTTAAGGTGACTTATCATTTAGTAGCTCACCAGTCAAAAACCTAGAAAAGTTAAAGAGTCTGAAATTCTGTTTGAAGGTTTACAATTCCATTGCTCTGGCAAACCAGGCAGATAATGAGATGCAGAGCTGGAAGTCCTTATGGAATCTTGAAGTTACCATTCCAACTGCAGTGCTGTAAACCTGCAATGCTCAAAACCACTGTGGCACCATGGAAAGACAGATGGCCTATCTGCAAGAAGCAGTTCAAGGTTTTCCTAGTTAGAAATTTTTGCAGGAATTTTTGGGACCACGGAAGGAATGAAGGCATCCTTCTACCATGGAATGTCATGTCTCTGACCTTGGAGGTTTGTGTGCATCTGTGGTCTTATTGTTGTCATTGCCCTTCAGCAACAATTTTACCCTCTGAGTACGGTGGCAGTACAAGGAAATGATAACTGTCAGTACAGAAAAGCAGTGCACACTGCTTTGTGGAATGAGCTGGAATTTCTGGATAGCTCAGGCTTGTAACTTAAGGGGTGTAGCAATGCTATCTCATTATAGTGGTGGTTATTGCATCCTGACATCCTCTTGGAAACTGATGCACGTAACAGCTTCTAAGTGCTGAGCTACGTAATAGGTTTTTCCAACTTCCAAACCACATGAATGTTTAAGGTTAGCTTTAGTGGTGCTGAGAACTCAGCAGTTTCTCACAGCAACATTAACCCCTTCCACACAAGGTGATTAAAGGCAGAAGTTCATTGCCATAGGTTCTGTGTTTTTGTTAATGTTTTGGGCTATGTGCATGCATATGAAAACATGTATATCAACTTCCAGCCCTACTAAATTTTTAAATGCTCAGAGCTGTATCGTCCTACTTTGTCTTTTCTTTAATCTTCAATTAGTGTCCTGGCCAAAAAGAAAAAAAAATTGCTCTGATTATGTGTATTACATTTGAAGTTTCATCTGAATTTCATTAGAATACACACCTCTGCTTCCTTTCTTTAACTGGCTAATATTGTTCCTTTGCCTTCAAGTTAGTTGTCTTTCCATACCTGATAAAATAAGCTCGCACATTCACATCCCTTTCTTCCTTAAATAAGCTTTTTTGGTTGGTTGTTTAACATTAGAATTTCTTGCCATTTGGGTGAAATGATATTGAGGAAGCTAGTATATTTTCTGGTTCATAATAAGGTGTTTTGTCAATTGTTTTGATGACCCTCCTAGTCAGATACAGCCAAAATCCAGAACTGCTGAAAAATGTAGAGAAAAATGTAAAGAACAAGATAGCCTAAGTTCTCTATTTGTTCAGCTAACTACTAACACCAGAAGTGAATTAAGCACGTTTTGCATATTGGTATTGCATTCAAAGACAATTTCATTAATTGATTTAGTATTCTCAGTATCACTTTAACTTAGAAAGTAACTGGAAATATGTCGGTGCAATATTGCAAGCAGTAGTTTAACTGAAAACTTCAAAACAGTTGAATGTTTGTTTTATAAAAGCTGTCTGGCATAGCAGAAAGATGATTGATACACTGTCACTTCTTCTATTTTCCAAGCACTGTGCAATGAAAACGTTTTCAGAAAGGGACCTTTTGTTCCAAGATTATATCTTAGATACCCACTGTTACTTAGTAGAAGTTATTTTCTAAGCAGATGCACTTTTGCTTCATAATTGGTTTTGCCTCCTATAGTCTTGTAGGATGCATTTCTTTACATAGATAAAGAGAAAAAGAGACAGAAGATCCACGACTGATTGTTCTGATGGAAGAATTTGACAAAGTACATTTCACAAATAGATTGATGATAGATGTGAAGTATATGGCTCCTGTAAGAATAAACAGCAAGGTTAAGAATTTTACTTTCCTAACTTAAAACCTGTAAAACCTTTAATCAAATGCATTCATCTATTTCAAATTGATGTTTTTCTGCTGTGAAACTTACTGATAGAGCCAAAAGACTGCCTGTTAGTGAAATGAATAAAAACCCTAAACTGACAGAAAAGTAGACACTTTGTCCCTCTCTTGAAGCCAAGCATTAAAAGAACAAAGATAGAAGTTATTCAGTATATAAAGTTGTTACATCTACATTTACATCGTTTCCTATAAATCCAGGCATACCTGTTTTAAATACAATAATGTGTGATTGCAGCTTTTGCTTCTGTTTTATGTGGTCATACTGCTCCTCAAGTAAGCTTACATCCATCTTGGTTGGCTGCTTATGATGATCTGAATCTCGTAGCTCTGAGGTATGAGTCACTGAAAAAATACCAGTCGTGCATTTGTAAGCCTTTACCATCTGTTCCCACAAGGAACAAAAAGTCATGCAGAAGCAGGACATTTCCTTCATTGTGTTTGCAAAAAAAGCACATCAGAGTATCTGAAATCTTCCTAAATGATGAAATAATTCTCTTTTCTAAGTTGGGTTACTTCTTTCAGAAGTGTCTGTTCTGAAGCTGTGGATTTCAAGCAGCTTGTTCTCCTGCAGCACACTTTGAGCTCCTGCATACAGATTTCATGGTGATAGCAGGATTTATGATTGGATTTAATGTTGACTTAAGGTTGTGAACACATGAGGCTTTG